ATAGCTAGTCTATACCCAAGATTACATCAATTTCAGCTAATGGGGATGTTATGAGAGAAGCAGGCATATGCATGTCATTTATGATAATGTCACAATCACGAATACACTAAGTATCAATCATAGGTGATCCAGATGGTTAAGTGATTGATACATATGTTTGTAATGGAGAAATCAATGCATTGGATGCAAATTTGTTTGATATGAATGAATGAGTTGCCCCTGAGTCACAAAATACTCTTGTTGGTTGCTTTAAAATAAGGATGATACCTGTCACCACATCAAGAGCTTCTCGAGCCTTTTCTTGCATCATAACAAATGCTCGCGATGGAATCGCATGCCTGGGTTGCTCCGAAGCTTGAGCTCGTTGACGTCAGTACTGCAACATTGAGGATTGTTGATACATCAGTCGTAGTTGTTGAGGTTGTTGGTACTGTGGTGCAAGAGAACACTGTTGATATGGTTAAGATGCCACAATTTTTTTTAGTTGTTGATGTTGATGCTGAAAATGATTATACTTTGCTTGACCCTTTTTATGATGCTACTGAAATTGTCCTCCATTTGACTTATGCCACTTACTATTATGATGACACTTGGAATTATTTTCTTGGGCGTTTGTCCCTTACAGCTGACCTCCTTAGCTTTATGATCGGTGCTATAACAATTGAAGCATTTACCGACAATCAACTTACGAGTCCCAGAATATCATTTCCCGCAACGAACGCATCGAGGATTTGTTTTTTGGCTTCTGCACTTGGTTATTTTGATTCTCAGTTGCTTCTTTTGGGAACTCCAATTGGCTTTTGTATTAGAATTCTTCTGCTTCCCAACATGCTTTTCCTCGCAAACGTTGATTTTCATCTCATGAATAGATCGATCCACTAGTTCGTTGTAATTCATGCATTTAACCGCAAATCAACACCTTTGAACGTCCTCTCTCAAGCCAACCAGTAGATGATAGACCTTTTGATCTTCATGTTGATTAATAGATGTGATGAAACGAAAGATCCTGGCAACTTGCGTACCGTTGAACGGCCTTCATCCCTTGCTCCAGCTTTCTTAAGTCATTCATGAGCTTGGCCCGGTCTGCAGAAAGGAAATACTGTTTCAGGAATATTCTCTCAAAATCTGCCCAAGATACTACCACATAAGTCTAAAAATTTTGTGACAGTGACTTTCATACCAATCATCAGCTCCTTTGCGCAACTGAAAGTCACAATGTCCACCTTATGGGCTTCAGGAAATTTTATTCCTTGAAGTCTCTTCTCAATATAATGGAGCCATGCATCAGACTAGATCAAGCCCACCGTGCCATTAAAGGTAGGAGGATGTGTTTTCAAAAACTGATCCATCGCTCGATCCATAGTGCTCAAGTTGGTCATTTTCATTGGTTGATTGGGTTGAGTCTCCATGGCAGCCACGAGTAGAACTAGTTGAATGACTTGTATTGTTGGTTAAACGGCTTGTTGGATGGCTTGGACCGCCTGTGCAATTTGGGTTGCAGAGTTAGCTTGCAATGTTTGAGTATGTTATCACCTCCACGATAGTCGCCAAGTTGAGACTTTGTGCTCCAGCTGTCTCGGTGGTTTCAGTTGGATCAGCATGACGGCGATTAGGGGAGCGGAAACCTCCTCAGAACAGGCACCTCACTTATAGTAGATCACTGAACTCCTATCCACGAGCGGTCGCAGCGCCTCTCTTTGTCAGATGGAATAACTGACTTACAAGGATAACCTATCCCCTCCCTAATTCTAAGAAGTCAAAGGAAATAAGATGCAACTCAAAGAAGGTCAAATAAAAAACACGGGCTCTAATATCACTCTGTCACACCCCGAGTCCAGAAGGCGGTACAACCCGGCAACACAAGGCAAGAAGAAATGAAATAAACCTGTTTTGTATTTTCAAATAAAGACTTACATGCAAATAAAGAAGAAAATGAAAATTTTATTAACACTGAAAAGTTCACTGATACAACTCAACTATAAATAGAAAACTAGCTTAATTAAAACAAAAATGATAATATGAAACAACTACCAAGATCCAACAAGGAAAATCACAATAGTTAAAACAAATACTGAGAAAAAATAACAAAACTAAGAAACTAAAACTGAATAGCTTGCTCTGGTGGAGACGGTCCTACTAGTGACTGAATATAACATGTTATTAAAAAATATCAACAATAAGTTTGATAAACTCAATAAATAGCATATATCTATTAAAGCATGAGCGGCAAGGGAAATGGGGCATACAGTAGCAACAAGGAATAATTATTAGGTGCATATGCAACACTGTAAGACCGATAAAAGGGGTAAATATCGGATATGCATATCATACAAAACATGCAATCATTTTTAATTAAATTTCTTATCATTAAATGTTCATTTATATTTATATTTATATTTATGTGGTTTTATTAGACACCCTAAAATTGGTTTTAACAAATATCAATTATAGAGTCATCACTCTGTAGGCCCGTCTGCCCGACGAGCCAAATTCCAAAAAAATTCTACTGACCTGCATATTATCACACACGAGCATGCCAATTTGTTTTCTCGTGTATAATAGGTAAGAAGTATGCAATTTTACAGGCTTGTGATATGACGTGAATCTACATATAGGTTCATAAAATGCAAGAAAAAGACAACACTATAACTGCAGGATTATTCAAATATATAGCAATATATTAAGACAGTAGATAATTTCATCATGAACAACAAAGTAGGTTTGTAACAAGTGCAATACCATAATTAAAGTAGCAAGAGCGGGACTGATAAAACATAAACAATATATGTGTTTCTATTATAATTAACAAGAAATAACGCCCCTAACTAGTAAAGATACGTTTATCCTTCAATAAACAATATTTACCTCGAGACGATAATCACGATACTTCTATGAATTCGACGGTTTGAATATGGATCCAACACCAATTGAAAAAAAAAATTATAAATTATTACACAAATAAATTTATTCATTCATTAAATTAGGTGCTACCTAATAGATAATTATAAATGTTATTATTCTTGTTATAATATTTTAAAAGAAAAAATTTGTGCACATTGGCCTATTAACATACTTATAATAATATAATCTTTCATTTTAGTTTGCTGAGGAAGAAAACTTATATTTTGAAATAACCTAATGAACAATCACAAAAACATCTCTTAATCTTAATTATTAAATCTCTGTCCCACTTTGTTTTGCCTTAAATCCCGATTTAGAAATCCCTTGGGAGGTGGATTTTATGGGATCTAGAAGAGCTGTTGCGTGCAAGAGGGATGAAAGCGAGGGTTATCTTCTTCGATGATTTCGGGTGGCAGCGAACGAAAGGAGGAGCTGTTGCGTGCAAGAGGGATGAAAGCGAGGGTTAACTTCTTCGATGATTTCGGGTGGCAACGAACGGAAGGAGGAGAAGAAGATGGGAGGTCGGGTCACTTTATACTGCGATCCCACTGTTGCCTTCCATCTAGCTTTACTCGCAATAGTGTTGTAGGTTTCGGTCACGGAGGCGATGGTTTTGGGGCAAAATCGGATAAGCAGAGGGAAGAAGATCGAGAGAAAGATGGAGATTGGAATGAGGTGAGGGATAGGAGATGTGGAGAATCATTGCCCTTGCCCATGCTCGGCCTTCTCTAAATAGTCGTGGGAGGTGGTAAACAAATGAAGAAAAGGAAAGCGACAAGTGTGAGCAGGAGAAGAAAAAGGAAAGTGCGATTTTGGGAAGTCGGTAATGTAGAGAGCAACGAAGGAAAGAAAGGAAAAAGGTAATAACATATTTTTGGATCTTACACAATGTCTACATCTTATTGATAGAAATCTTCGTGTTTCTTCTCATCATAAGCATTGCATCAAGAAACAAAATGAGAACAAATTGTTTCTTTTTCTTTTTTTTTTTAATTGCTATTTCTATTATAAAAAATTTGTCAATAATGAAGCAAAGAAAGTAATGCATTATACCTTAGTGTTAAATTTATTCACATGACTTAGCATGATTTCAATCCTAGTTTAATCTATATTACCTCCTATAATAAGTTGCTATGGCAGGTTGCATTACATTAATTTATTTGTGGTGGTGATGATTGAATTAAAGGCGCTAGAAGATTGGTTGGTATTCCTTCTTATGGCAATCAAAGTTTGTGTTTAAGAAGCATCAAGTTTTATCTATTAGCAATGGAGATTTGATTTATCTTCCTATTGTGATATCGAATGATAAAGTATCCCGATCTATGGTGATTTGATTTCTCTGTTGGCCCTCACCCAGACCCCGCGATTTAACCCTCAGTCATCCACAGCATCATATGTTAATTCCATGTTTGTGTTACAATAGGCAGTCAACAACCACAAGAGTGCTAGATAAATCCTTGAGCTCAAAGCTCGGGTCATTATATAGGTGAGCATAGCAATATAACCTAAAAGTAGGTTGCATATTTCAAAAAATAAATTTTCTAAGCCCAACAAAAAGAGGATCCCAATTCCCGATTTCAAATCCAAGAACTTACTGAAAAAAAATATTGCATTTCCTATCAACAATCAAACTTAACTGTTTGGCTAATATCTCTAAATTTAATAGATTATAGCTTTTTTAGATCAATTGCCTCTATTTCCAACACTGCATTAGCGCTATTTGTCTAGATCCAGTTCAAATTCAGGGATCCATTTGATACTATGTTTGGCATCTGAATTTCAAGTCAATTAATTCCATAGAAGTGAATATGGTTTTGATATGTCAAGAAGATTCTATATCTGACAAAATTTTCAGTTATTCTGTCATACTAATACCCAACTTATTCATAATTGATGAAATAAAATTCATAAACGAACTTAACAACATTCCCATTTCATAATTTAATTCCACATAAGCAACAACATAAGTATCAGACGGGTCTGACGAAATCAAATTCACAAACGACATTCGATTTCATAATTTAGTCCATATAAGCAATAACAGGAGTATCTGGCAAATAACAACTTCAAACCAAAATTAACAAAATCAACCATCAAACCTTTGGCCCTCTGACATCAACAGTAAAGAGCGGGTAAGAACCCGGCTGCATCCCTCGACTCTTAATCAACTCCTCCAATCTCTGCCTCTCAGCAACCGCCAGCTTTTCCGTTGATCAGCCAGGAGTTCAAACAAAGATTAAGCAAACACCAAGAAAAAAAAATGCAACAGAAAACCCATAGTAATTATATTGGCAAGTACCTCGCCGACGTCTGCAAATGAGGCATCCACGGACGCTACTCCGACTGCAGCAGCTGCGAAGATAGTCGGCAACAAAGATGAGAAGCACGGCGATGAGGTGGTCGTCCCGGAGCTGTACTCGCGGTGACTGTGATTTTCGATAATCTCCACTGCAAGGACGGAAGTAAGAAATCATGGAACTGAGACGACCAAGAAAGTAAAACAGGATCGAAAAGCAATTAGAATACGCTGAAGCTTGCGAATGCGGAATACACAACGACGGGGGGGACGATACCCTCCCGGCGGCGCTAGATGGCGCCGCCGCCCCTGATCTCGCCAGACTTGTTAGGGTTGCTGCCGCCCGCCTCATGCTGTCTTGCTAAGCTGCAGGAGAGGCAGAGAGAAAGAGGAAGCCGCTCTTTCCCCTGGAACAAGAAAACCCCCCGCGAAATACATTAGAGCATATGAACATTTCTATTAAAACAGAAAGAAAGGAATATTTACATATCTTTCCCTTAATTTTTATTATTTACATTGCTGTCCGATCTGAATTGTTAAAGTGTGTAATATAGTTTTCACCATAATTTTGGATATTTGTTGTAAATTAGAAAATTATGGTGAAAACTACAAATATCATACTTAGTATGAGAAAATTTTCAATTTATTTTTACGAGTGTCGTATAGTCTCAATTTCAAGAATTATGATCACCGTCTTCATTTGTCATGTCATTTTCCAAGTTCTATCACCTTAGTCACTCTACTTTAGATCAAATAGCTTCATAATTCTTTCTAGTGATGATTAGTTTTGAAGGAGTTGAAGATCACATTGGCTTTACATTTCTCAACCAATTTCCTTAGCTCAATCTGTTTGCGGATGTCCACACATCCTCTCTTCTATCTCTTTCCATTATTAAAAAAAAAACCTTTAAAAAATATAATATTTTAAATGGATAGTTCTTTGATTTTCAAAAGCCAGTCACCATGTCAACATGCGACTTTGATAGATGAGCAGAGTAGTTTGATGATGTCTCGACTTTATTAAAAATAAAACAATCCAATTTATATGATTTTTACTGATTATACAAACTGAGATACCGTTCGGGGTTGTGGGGACATGACAGTACATTATTAGAATGCAGCATCCGACTGTTTGACCGAACGACAGGACTTCATCAAGGGTGAAAATCAAAACGTGAATTTATAGCACGATGCCTCTTGGCTCAATCCATGACGGCCTATTTTACGCAGTTTCGTTATATTTTCTTTTTTATTTGACCCCCCATTATTTTGAATGTGCCCTTATAATATCAATGATACAAGTCCATTAAGGGCATTATTGTTCATATTTAGGGTGTCTTTGTGCATATATGGTTAATCTTATCATCACTAGTCTTTGTTTTTTCCTCGCTCATTTTCCATGTGAGGTGCTTGAGACTCATAATTATCTCCCATTATCTCTCTCTACATAGGAGCTTACTTTTATCATTGTGGCTAGCATTTGGCTTCATGTGAGCTCACAGCTTCGATTTTGGTGATATTGCGTCTGAAACTATTTTAAGATGTTGTCTGTAAGACTAATGTCTTTGAGTTGTTGTGTCTTCTTAATCATTTATTGTTCGGTATGCTTGACAATTTTTCTAATTATATGATTATGATATGATCTTATTTTTTTAGTTTCATTATCATGGTATGATCATGATTTTTTCTTTCCGTACTTGCAGCACTTTACCTTCACGACTAGCTCATTGCTCACTCATCTATGTTGATCATGATTATTATTTGGCTGTTAGATATGTGAATACATCAGAATTGTGCAGCATGTCCCAAAATTGTTGTTTAAACTCTCACAAAAAGCATGACATTTAGGTGTTAGACATGTGACTGTTTTGGATTTCATTGTTATGACAAAAAAAATTATGTTGCACCTTTCATGTCCCAAAATTGTTGTTTAAACTCTCACAAAAAGTATGACATTTAGGTGTTAGACATGTGACTGTTTTTGATTTTATTGTTATGACAAAAAAATTATGTTGCACCTTTTAATGTTCTCACACTGCATTAAGCATAATTTTGTTATTTTTGATGCTAGATATGCTGACACATTAGAGTTTTGCGGTGTGTTTGTAAATTTCGATATCGTGACTCTCAATATTTTTTTTATTAAAATGATTTTTTTGTTGTTCATTTAATTTAATCTCCTCTAAACACTGAGAACAAAGAATCAATCTTCACATGCAATTACTAAGTGACACTTGTTCCAAACTTTCTTCGTTTTTCAACATGACTTAAAAGAAATATCAAAATAAACATACTTTAAAATCAAATAAAATTTTTACGCTTATTTTGCGAAAAAAAATATGGTAAATGAAAGAGACTATTAACCGTAAATTATTGAATTCGGCAGGGGTTATTTCTCTTAGAAGGATGATCTCTTCCTATAAAAAAGATGTAGTTGTCAAGGGATTCCCCATGAGTACAAAGCATGAAAGAATGTTCTCGGTGAATTTTGCAATAACTTAGTACCCCTCAAACATTTGATTTCTAATTTTTTATTCATTTTGTAAAAAATGTATTAAGGAAAAAACTTTTAGGGGATGTGTGAGAACGAATAAGGATTCGTTTGGGGCAGCTTATAAACGCCGCCGTACAGTTTGGTTCGCTCGTTTCACTAGTTTATCTGAAACTGTCTGAGTTTTTACACTAAACGTAGTCGCGGGCTGCGTTTCATGATAAACAGCTTATCCTGAAATGCCCGAACTGCCCTGAACTGACAGTTTGGTTCGCTCGTTTCACTAGTTTATCTGAAATTGTCTGAGTTTTTACACTAAACGTAACCGCGGACCGCGTTTCATGATAAACAGCTTATCCTGAAATGCACGAAATGCCCAAAGTAATAAGTAGGTTTAATAAATATTTAAAATATAAATTTTAACAATCATAATGGTTGAATTTAAGGAACAATTTAATAATTAAGTAACAGATATAAAAATATTTAATTATATTTAATCTTATTATTCATTAATTAATCATAAAACCAAAACCCCGCCCGAATGCCTCGCCTCCATCATCACTATCCTCTCCGGCTGCTCTCGCTTCTCCGGAAACCCTAGCGATACAATCGATCTTTCTGCTCTTTTCGCTCCGCTCTACCCAAAACCGTGGAGGAAGGTAAGCTTGTTCGCGCCATTCTTTCTCTTCGCTCTTCCTGAATCTACTAGAGAAATCCTTGAAATCCGGATTTATTAAATCGCGGCTTTATTTTGTCCAAAATGAACAAGATATAGGCTAAATCTGGGTTAAATCCTGCTCAAAATCCGTTATCAGACAGACCCTTAATGTTATATGTGTGCTTAAAAGATGTGTTTGGAAAATCTTCATTTTTTTTTTGCTTTTGTTTGTCATGTGATACTCCCTACTTTTACAATACAAGAATGCACTTTTTCTTATCCATCTCGATCTAATATCGCACGTTTTAGCTATAAAACAAATACATGCGACTTTGAACTATCTAGTCATGATAAAAATTAAAATCACTTATATGTATTCTCCCAATTGCAATTCGTTTCCCATTAATCTTCCTGCTTACGCGGGTTCATTGTATAATGCCATGAGCCAATGAAAGAGCAAGTGTGAAATTTTTTCTTCTCTATCTTATTTTCGTGATTGTTTGCTCTACCATGCTTTTACTGTGCAGGGAGATATGCTTTTCCGAGCATCTGATATTTTATTTTTTGCATACCTTGCAAATAGGAAATTAAACACCCTATGCTTGATATTATTTGCCTTCATGATCATGTTAATTTTAGTTAATGTGATGAATTTTCATCAAACATACTTAATATGTTAAAAGTTTTGGTTTTGATTTATAATTTTATGTTTAAGATGATCTAAAAAGCTACCTTTGGATGTAGTTAAAGATTGATATGCTGTGAATTAAGCAGATTTGTGATGGAATTTACTTCATCTAGTGATGTTGAGAAAATACAAAATTGTGAAATTGAGATCTGCACTACATGTTTGTTGCAGAAAATTCTTGAAAATTTATGCAAACCAAGTAATTTTGTGTTTTTAAGAATTCTGGCCAGTTTAAGTAAATAATTCACTCCTTTATCTACTCTGTAAACTCAGTTTTAAATTTTATTTTTTGAATTTTTTTTTTCGGTCATGTGACAACTTAAGATGACAATGAGGCGTGAAACTAATATATTTTTCAAAATGCATTATAGTAATTTAAGTTTTCATGTGCCCGGTGGGCTGGCACATATTTATTTATATTAGGTTACAAAACATCACTTGCATGCATATTCTTGTGTTTTTGCACACATACTGATGCTTAAACAATTAAAGAAAATCATATTTGACAGTTATATGTTGAAGCTGAGGTTGCCTACCTCTAACAAGAGAAAAATGCCAGGAATTGGCTGTTATATCTCGCGGGCTTTGTCTTTTAGGAGTAAAAACCAGTTTTTGATTTTTTGTTAGATATTAAGACAATACACAAATTTCACATTCTTCACATAAAAGATTCATGAACTATCTTACATACCCTATAGGCATACCAAAATCAGATTGTTAAATTAGAATTCATAGTATTTTAAGAAATAGCTGTTGACCTACTCAACTATTCATATTCAATTCATTCAAATGCGATGATATCAGTGAAAGACTGACAGGCTATCGTCCATGTTTTGTTCGAAACGCACAACACAAATTGAAATTGGGCAATCATTGTTGGTTTTGCTAAATGGATTGTGTTGATGCTATAGAAAATAATTAAGGTTTACACACAGATTGCCATAGCTATTGAATGATAGAAATTTGCAAGATTTGTTCGTTTGCAAGATAATGACAAAAATTTGACATACATGGACAAGAAGAACTCGCAAGACAAGATAATCACATACCCAAAAACTTATATAAAAAAATAGAGAATATATATATATATATATATATATTTAAAATTAATGTTATTCTTAAAAAAATATTATTTTTGTTTTCTCTGCCACTCTTATCTCTATTGAAATCCCATCGTCTTTAATCAAATCCTGCATGAGGTCCTATTTTGTCACACCCCAACCGACTGCCCCCTTTAAGGATTAACTTCGGTGCGTTAGAAGTGAATGATTCAGTCAAATTAAATTCTTACAAGCACTCGTACTAATTTACAGAATCAGGACATAGTGAGTGAGGGCATAGTCTCACTAAATCGCTAGAAAAATACTTGATACATTACATTTCATAATTCATTCATATTTATATATTTAAAAGCGTGAAAAATCATATCTTCAAAACATATATATTTATACAGAGCTGCTAAATCCAACATAATAAAATTACGTACTTAAAAGACTTTACAAGTTTTCAAAATCATAAAATGCGAAAGTTGGACAATTCACACTTGGCTACTCACCTTATTTTTTCTTATCATTTCCTGAAAGTGAATAACATAGAGCGAGTTACAACAAGCTTAACAAAATAATCAATACTTAAATAAAATTTTAAAGATGAAAAATAAACATAAATGCTCATATGTAACTTATATACATGTCCATGACACATGTCACAACATACTGTAATCATATAAACTTTGTAAAAAAAAAAGACATGTAATGCAATAAATCATGATGATTATATAAAATATGTATTTTATCTATTCATATATAATTATAAATATATTGATAAAATTCATCAATTTAATCATATTAATGCCACTTATAATTGTATAGATCTCAACAATTTTCACGTAATGTCATATCATTCGGTCGTCACTCATCACTAAGGTTACATTTGTCACCACCTGACCCGTCTTGGAATTAACCAAGACGACAACAGATGGTTAGACAGTGAAAATAATTTTCTTATATTGTTATTCTATCACCAACAGTTTAACATTCAAATCTTTAAGAAAAATCTATTAAAAAAGACAATTAAAATTATCAATTAGAATTTTTATACATTTTTATTTGTTGTTCTCGCCTCTTGTATACATTTTACTATCTTCTATTTATTTTAATAAAAAAACTTAAACCTGAAAGAAATGTTAAAGCAACATAATGAGTTATGGAGAGATAGCCCAGGAGCAATCACCCTTCTAAAGTACAGTAACCTAAGGGAAATAATTCAATATGCATGCTGGTCTTTCATATATCTGTAAGAAATCTTAGAATATGCCAATTTTTCATAACTCTATAAGAAATGTTGAATATACTATTGTATGTATCAATGATTTTTTCTGAATGAAAATACTCAAAAATCCTATATACATTTTCTTTTACTTTATTTTTACTTTATATTCTTTATACACACATCTATTTGTTTTGAGGGTCTCCATCAAAACAATTTAACACACCCCTGGTTGATATTGCTCTTCTACTCCCATCGGCACAACTATTAGTGGTATAAACATCATAATTGTTTAGGGCGAAAAGACCCTTACATGCCTTTGACTGATATTATTCCGTCGGCACAGTGGTTTGTTATAATTGTCTGGGGAGGTAAGCTATGATCTTCTCGTCTCGTCAGGATAACGGTTAGTGAACCAACTATCACAATTGTCCGCGGTGATAGAAAAACTCTGCGCACGGGTATACTGATGCTCTATGCCTGTACCATTAGGAGGTGAACTCCTCTGAACATGCATATACAAGCATCCATATATACTATATTTTCATTTCATTCTTCAAAGCATACCTTTCTTTCATGCGAGACCTGTATTTATTTACTAAAAGTCATGCAACTCTACTAAAATCTAAGGTCATATGATAATCTAAAGATGCACTTTTACTCTAGCTCTGACGGTTAAATAAAGTCAAATTATAACCTGCATTTACATTTAGTCATACAATGAACTAACATATACATCTTTGTTAGAATATAAAGATTGTGCAGTATACTAATATCTTCATAAACTAAACCATCATGCAACTATCAAGACAACAACATTTAACATACATATGTCATGACTGACAATATAAAAAATATATAAGATTTAATTTCATTATGCAACTATTTAATATGCATATTTTCATATCTGATAATATGAAGAATCAATTATAATTTAAATCTTATTGAAATAAAGCGTAAATAAAACATCAATAAAATCAAACTTACACTTTGAAATAAAGTTAGTTATTGAAATTTAAAAATATAATTACTCACCGTAATTCAAACTGATTTTCTTGTTATCGTCTTCTGCCGTCTCCTTCAAATTAAGCAACTATAATATACAACATTGCATTGAATAAATTTATCTCGTATTATTTAAGTATAATTCAATTTCCTCATCTTAATTATGAGTTTAAATTCTTAAATCAATACTAATACTAAAAAAATATAACTTAAATTTCTTTTGAAAGTTAAATCTAATTACACAATTTCAAGACTCTTTTATCAATAAGATAAAATTTGCCTATCTGATTTTCTTATGAGTTATCGGGATCGATTTCCTCCCTCACTCCACGCTTCACCAACTTCTTCTGCTTCCAAGTTGAACTTTTACTGCTTAATTCTTGTTTAGTTAAACACATTGCTTATATTTTAATACATCATATCTATATTTGATTAAAAAATTTAAATATACTTAAATCCTAACTCATACTCACATAAACACATATAAAACATTATATTAATTAACAATAATAAATATCTCGGTCTATAACTTTTACCTTTCAATCAACTGCCTTAACCTCATGGACCCACAGATGCGCGAGCTTTGGCTCCGTCTCATTGCACAAAGGCCCTTCTTCATAGTCCTTCGGCCTCAACTAGGGAAAAAATTTGCCTACGTAAGACGCACGCAACGATGTGTGCGATATCCAATCAGAAAATGCCACGTAATTTGTGGGGGGCCCACCGCATTAACATAATAAAATAAATCTAAATAATTCCGCGCGTGACCCGTTACCCGGCCCGTGATGTAACGCGTTTGTACCTTGATCTGTAACTCCGATATACCCTTCCTATATATCCCGCGGTCGGCCTGCAGTAACGCGATTGTAACTAGACTATACCAACCATGTATCTTCCATGGTACAGGGCCATGTAATGCGCTTGTAACCGGACTATATCCAAGCTATGCCTTCCGCGGTAAACTCCCATGTAATGCGCTTGTAACCGCGCTATACATAAGGTATACGTTCCGCGGGAAAGACTTATGTAACACGCTTGTAACCGCGCTATACCCAATTTATACCTTTCGTGGTAAAGAAATATGTAAGGCGACAGTAATTTTTTTGTAACCCGGTTGTAACCTTTAATATATGCCGCGCGTGTAACCTGGTTGAAACCTCTATATAACTCTGAACCGCGGTTATAATCCTCTTGTAACCTCTTAATTACGAATTGTAACATTCTTATAAACTCAAAAAATCGTGTTTTATAACTTTTGTAAAAGTTAGAAACCAATACAATGACTCTTTATTTTTGAAAACAGGCATTCGCGCGTGCTAGGGTTTTCTTTTGTCGTCTTCCTTTCGCAGTAGAGTGTGGATTGCTTAGGCGAATGAACACTAAAATGGAAGAGGTAAGCGCCGAGACCACGAATACTAATTTGGTAGAGGCCAATGTCGCGGAGTTGGGAGAGGCTATGAAAACCGAATGCAAGGAGGCACCGCAAATGGTCAAGGATGGCCGTAAGGAGGAGTCAAAGAAGAAAAATATTGAATCTAGGTATTTTTAATGGTTTCATTTCGAATTTGTAAAGCTTGGTTATGTTTTAGTTTTAATTTTTAAATTCATAATTTTATCATCATTTGAATTTTAATTTGATCTTAACCTATTATGATGCATTATTGTAGGTTTTCTAGCGCAAAATCAATGAACTGCAGGTGCAGTCCATCTGGAGTACGAGAAGTCCTCGATAAGGTTCGACCATCAGTGGACGAGGAAACATGGAGTAAATTGGAAGCACTGAATTTAGCTCAGTTTTTTGAACTTCCCCCGCACCCTCAAGATCATATTCTGACAATGCACATAATAAATTATTGGAATATTGATCGAATGACATTCCACCTCGGAGGGAAAGAACTTAAATTTTATGCTGACGAGGTTGCACTCCTGATTGACATGCCAAATAGAGGTTTCCCTGCATACTGGAGTAATGCCCCGCCAGCTAGTATGGATGCGCGATAGTTAAAGACCGCACTACTAAACTATTCACCAGGGGAGTCCAATTTTTTTTTTCTTCAAGTAACTTCAGAATGTCAAAAAGTTATCGTGTTTTTGTAAGGATGTCGAGTCATTTACAGTTTATAACTGGCCAACAACTGTATGTAATTTTCTAACCAAACAAGTCAATATCTGTGCCACGAAAATAAAGAAAGATCAACCGTTGGGATACATTACTGGTTTTGTATTCCTTATAACGGTTTGTATTATTCATATAAGTTATGAAAATTAATATTCATAATTTTAGGCATTGCGGTAAATTATTGTATTATGTTTCATGCAACTTTGGTTTTATGAGCATACCTCCTTGGTCCTCCCAGCAGTGCCTGAGATTAGACCAAGAATGTTGAGGTGACCATTTAATGTAAAGTGGAATTTGGTTAAGATACAACTAGCCTTTAAGAGACTGACAGCCGCCGAAGTGAGTTAGTTATTTATTTATTTCATATACAGTCTTATTATGATTTTATTATAATTTCATTGAGTTTGAGTCTATTTATTGGCTTGCAGGTTTATGATTATTTCATTGAAATAAAAGACAACGACATCAATTACTTGCCCCAGCTCGTGAAGAACCATCCAGCCCGGAAAAACATCTCCCACAACGGGAGACTCAATCCCAACCACAATCTCTCACATTCATTCTTGTTTCTGATATAGTTCCTTATCGCAGCGGTCTAGAACCAACACATGCTCACACATATACAGATACTAGTCCTCATATTATTGGTCTTCAAGAAATACATGCACTGCTTAGAGATCATCATAAATTGTTCATAGACTTTAAATGCACAATTGACAATCGTTTTACAAATATAGAGAATACAATTACAGAATTAAAAACTGAAGTTGTAGATTTACATAAACAATAAAACAACCTGGTAGGGAATTACCATTGAAATAGGTTACAGCGTCCTTATTAGGCAGCTTAATTCGAAGGATTAAAGTAAGATAAGATAGAAGGAAACGACAACTCAGTTCCCTCTACATGTTTTTTGAACGAAAAAAGAAAAGTAAACCAACATAGAAAGTTGTTGAGAAACCTGAAGAGGTACATACATTTAAAACTCATGATCAAATTCAATTCTTTTTTTACTAATATAATTAACATCTTTAATTAATAGGTTGGAGGTGTCAATAAGTGTGAAACAGACCAATTGCATTATTCACCGTCTGTTAGAGAAGAGACAAAGGATGTAAATAAGGGGGAATCAACAGCTTTAGAACCTACTATAAACGATGACATTATTGTTGATCAACAAACTGTAGATAATAAGGAGGAGACAAAATTTGAGGAGAAAGAGGATGATCAAGAACAGGTGGAAACACATTAATTGATGAAAATTATCCTGATAAAGTATCGAATTTTTTCGGTATAAGTTTTTTTCTTTATTAGTTTCTATAAATAAATTTAATATTTAAACTATACAATATTATTTCCTTATTTTATAGGTTTGTCCAGTACCACTTGTGGTTGATTTTCCTGCTATAGAACAAATTCCAGATTATATGCGGGAAATAATCGAACTTTGCTGTAATAAATTCACCAACTTGTCAGTGTGCTATGTTTTTAAATTGCTTTAGATGTTCTACTTTCGTATAGATTTGACGTAACATTCATATGTTTGAAATGCAGATGTGATTTAATTATTAATATGAGACATGTGTCGTTAACACGACATTATCTAGATGAACTCCTCAAGAAGAGTTAGTTAGGAAACGAACAAGTTGATTGTTTTGCAATGTTGATGGAAGCTAAAAAATGTCAAGCACCACATTTATATAAATCTTACTTATATGTCTCTCGATGCCACTGGGTAAATTTTCTAATTCTTTTCTCCTATAACGTACCTTAATACATCTAACACACCAACCTTATTTTTATGTGATGTCTCTTCTTTTATACAGCTGTATAAAATTGGAAATATTAAAGGATTTGTGGAGCACATTACAATCGCAGCTGCTGCGAATACTGAGCTGCAAATATTGAGTTGTTTTTACTGCCAATAATAAATAATCAGCATTGGATATTAGTAGTTGGGACAATAAAGGACCGTAGATGGAGATTTTACGACTCCTTACCAAACAAAATGCATATGAATATCACCGACGCCATTGTAAGTAATTGTGTATAATACTGAGTTGATTTTATGACTCATACTTTTTTTCAAATAAATGACCGATACATATAATCAGGGGCATACCAGTACAGAACAACAGTTTTGACTGTGGAATATTTGTATGTAAATATATGAAAGTAATAGTGCACAAGACTAAAGCTGATTGGAAAGAGTATTTGGAATGACAGAAGTCTATGCCACTATTTAGAGCTGAAATGGGATACGAGGTATGCAAATTTGTTTTGTCAAGAACATGATCACAGGTTTATGTGTATTATCATTTAACCCTTTAGTCAACCAAGAAATCATGATCACAGAACATGATCACAGGTTTATGTGTATTATCATTTAACCCTTTAGTCAACCAAGAAATCATGATTTTTAGATAAAGTTATTAAGGAATGACATAGTTTTTCTTTGTTCATAATGCAGATCCAGATTACAAGGAAAATCATCATTTTGAAGATATTGTTTTGAGATATAATTGCTTTGGTCTTGCTGATGTTCTGTTTGCAACATCTACTTAGTTTGTCATTTATTGATAAAATCACATTTTCGATTTGTGCAGGACCAAAGACAGAAATTAAATAACGCATGCTTCGGGAATTTAGATTTCTTTCTGGGGGAGTAGCAGTGCTGATTATAGATGCTGATTTGATCGTACTGACTTCATGTTTTTTTGGAGGAGCTCGTTGCTGATGGATAATTTTAGATTCATTTTCTAACAATATATTATATGTTTTATTTTCTGTACCTTCAGATGTATTCTTTGGTTTGGACATATGACACATGTATTTTGGGTGTTATGTTCGGTTTTATGTAATGATTGTAAAAGAATTCGTCAATTGTGAATAAAGTATAGATTCTGTCTAAAATTTCTATTGGATTGTCTATAGATTCTGTCTAAAATTATTTTGAAAGCTGAAAAATTTTTTGTTGAAGATAATAAGGTTTAAAATATATTATGGGGACAACAACAACAAACTTTTTGTTGGCATTTGAAGAAACAAGAAATCAAACTCATATTGATCATCATGTGTGAGTTTGAGTCTAAATTAAAGTTTCAAAATGTATAAACTTAATTTCGAATGTATGATTTTGCTCAGTCATTCGAGATTTGTACTTAGAAATTCTGCTACAAGCCTTTCAAATTTGATTACAAGACTTGCAAATCTGATATACAAAGCTTTCAAATCTGATTTCAAGGCTTTTAAATATATTCTTAGAACAACAACTATTCTTAGAACAATAACAAAATCAGGTCATTCTGCACGTCTGCTTGCATAAACTTAATACAAAAACTATCTCGAAATTCTGATTACAGAGTTGAGTAGGAGACTATGTCTGCTTACATAATGTTATTACAAAAACTGTGTTAAAATCTGATATACAAAGCTTTCAAATCTGATTTCAAGACTTTTAAATATATTCTTAGAACAATAACAAAATCAGGTCATTCTGCACGTCTGCTTGCATAAACTTAATACAAAAACTGTCTCGAAATTCTGATTACAGAGTTGAGTAGGAGACTATGTTTGCTTACATAATGTTATTACAAAAACTGTGTTAATACCAATTATTATTCCAAAATCTGATTACAATTTTGAGTAAGGTGGCAAAATCTTATTTCAAAATTTGATTACAGAGTTGAGTAAGAAGCCAGAGTCTGATTACAAAGCTAAGTAGGAAACTAAAATTTTATTTCGAAATCTGATTATGAAGGTCAGTTAAGAAGCCAAAATTTGCTTACAAATCTAAGTAGGAAACCAAAATTTTATTTCAAAATCTGATTACAAAGGTCAGTTAAGAAGT